AAATAAGTAAAAATGTACACATGTTTCCAGCTTCTCGTAAGAAGGAAAAATAAGTATTAACAATCACGTTGTGTATCGCGACAACGCCAAATATAAAATTATATCTCTATTTTGAAAGTTTGGCATCGCGTGTACGCGTGATGTTATTTACGCAAGTACGAATAAAGTTCTAAATTGTTTCTAAATTGTTTCTAAATTAGTATTTTTAACATAAGAAACTAAAATCGATATTATAGAAAACTCTATGTTGTTAATAAAGTTTCTAACATTTTTTTTATCACACAACGTGTTCATAATAATATTCCACGGTAAACAATACTTTCGTGAGTTATTGCATACAAGATAATGCTCCAAACGAGTGACAGGTTTAAAGAAGATGCGCCATTGATCATTGTTTGGACTATTATCTATGTCATTGTCTAGTATCGTTATCAGTGATAACTTTCACTTTTGTTGCGCGTGTCGCGTTGAAATTTACACACATGACAGATGTATGACAATTCATTATACAGCCTAATAAAGATCATTATATGATGTTTCATATAAAACGGCTTGATGATTCGAGCAATGAAATTAATTCCTCCTCAATGTTCAACGAGGAGGAATCATGTTTTATGTTTTCCTAAATTTTTAATAGTTATCTGCGCACATTTGTAGCCCGTACTTACGTTATAAGCAGTTGGAATACACGTGTTTCCTCCGATCATACCAACACCATCTAATAGCTCGTTTCATAATCATTTTGCGTAGCAGTTAACGAAGATAAATCGACTCCTATGAAATTCTTATCGAGGCGATAGATTACATTTTTTCCCCTCTCTTGTTCAAGTGCAAAGAAAAGTTACTTGCAATTATCGTAATAGTACCAGTTTTAGGAGAGCGTTTCCGATAAGCACGCAACATTGATAAATGTTGCTTTAGCAAACATTCGTCTTCTGTCGATAACGATACATTTGTTTAAAGTTATTTGTTTAATGTTATTGCACATACACTTCGAGCATAAGCCAAGATACTAAATTCCTGAATAAACAGACAGTCCATTACTTTTTCGCGCTACTACAATCTTTTCCAGCGATACCATAAACTACTAGATATTACTATCGCATTTTTTACGAGATAACGACGTCAGTATTGAGTTTTCCCTCAATACGCCGGCAAGGACAGAAGATGCAATATTTTTGTAATATTCTATTTATATTCATTTATGCAAAATTGACAGACGTCGTTAATGCAAACAAGTGGCTGGATTGATGTGACTCATAGTAGTTATTAAAATTTTAAACGATTTTGTTAACGCAAATGCGCACGAAGATTTAACGATTATGTAATTTATCTGCGTTTTACATTTTATTTCTTTCTTAACAGGCGTAACGCAGTGTGAGCTTATGAATTTTTAAAGATGTCCCTTCACGTTGTAACGATTTCCATATAAAATTATATCCAGATACCTACAGTCGAGTGGTAATATTGTTGCAAATTTGGTGCAGAGTAAATGAATAACATAACAATTATGACACTGCAAAAAGTCAGCAATTTATCTTTATTTCTCAAACAGGTACGCTTCTTGAAATTTATATGATTTTTAATACTGAAATTTTATAAAATATACGTGTAAAACTCATATTTCGAAGATTAAAATATAAGAGGAATAGCAAAAAAATATCTACGTAAATTAATAAGTTTACAAATAAAATATTTGTTTAATCAAGAACATTTTTTGAAATTTTGAGCGTATGTGAACAAAGAAAGTGAACTCTCTTTTCCCCTTACGTATTTCTGTTACTTTTTATTTTAATTTCCTTGATTGCAATATACTTGGTTTATACTTTGATTATCAAGGATTCTAATAAGCCATGTAATACAAGGCGAGGAATATTTTGACTCGACAGATTACATACTATGAAACGTAATGCTTTCTCTATTGACTGTCGCAGACCATAGTCTCACAGTAATTGGAACATGATTAAATACCGTGATGATGGACAATATGCAATCTTATAAGCTACGTGTTGGAGAATGTTTATTCAGCGAAGTTCTTGGTAGCGATTTGATCGAGACTGTCTTATTAGAGTTTTATTCACATTGATTCTCGACCACCAAACTTATTTATTTATCGTTTGCTCAGGAACAATTATTTATAAAAGTTGAATGGGCCAAGTAACTTGAGATCTTTCACAACTGTTATAGAAGCAGTGTGTACTTGTACGATGGCATATGCTTCACACCATGAAATTAGGGCTATTTATTTTGCCTTATTTATTAAGAATTTTTGAATGGCGCGTTTGACTGTCTTTTTCATCCATCTATGTATGCAACGTATCGATTGATCGTACTTTCACTTTATCGACATTTGCCTCGCTCACTATGCATCACATGTCTGTAGGTATGTTTCGCAATCGCGCGAAATGATTTAAAGACAAACCTTCCTGTAATCGCGAATAATGAAATGTTAAGTGTAATATTCGTTTCAACTGTTTCACTTTTTACTGTGTACATGTAAGTCTTTCACATTTGACTAAACATAGCCACAAGATGGAATTTTGAACGTTAAAAAATTGGAGTGTAATTGTCCAAATAATTGACTCGTTCGATTATTTCATTGAAGTTCGTAAGAGGTGTCTATCCCTCAGTAGATTTTTTTCATTGAGTCTTAACAATAATTGTAGAAAATCATAAAAATGAGTGGTTTAATAGTCAATAAAATAACAAAAGTCGGTTAATTAAGATAACGAAATATATTTTAAATAAATGTCTATGCAAATTTATGTTTTTATGAAAACAATTAAAAAATTAGTACTTGGGTAAAAATTTATTTCAGTTAATAAGTATAGCACTTAGGTGCGAAGTTCTTCGTATTCTCTATATTAGTGAAGTATAGTTTCCATGTAACACGTACTCTTCTTGTGTATAAATCGTGCGTCATTGACGTTATGCGAACAAAATGGCGGTGAACAGTGAAAGGCTGTAATTCATTTTTTGTAAAAAAAGGTGGGAAAAAGGAGAAGGAGCAGAGGAGAATGGCAGGATAACGGTGGAAATGTATTGGCGTTTCTATTATACAAGAAGATAGATAACATAGTCCATTAGAAAGTAGTCTGTCAAAGTCGTATAAACCTTTTATTTTTGTCCGACTTCGACAAACTCCTACGTACAGAAACTTAACGCTATAATAACCGTATTTTCCGATAGTAATTTTTACCACAGTATTTTCTACGTATAAAGGAATAATCAGTAATTATAGAAGTGTACAAACATAAATGTTTAAATTTTCTACGACCTTAACCACTGAAAATCACATGATCAGAGTAACATCGTTGTAGTGTTAAAACAGTATTGGGTAAAGGGTTGTGATTAACCCCTAACGTGGTTCAGGGATTCAGTGAAAAGACAGGATGGTTGAACATCCATTTCGGAGCAACTATATCTCTCAAGAGCTCCAGAACCAACGAGAGCAAGTAGATGAAAAAAAATGGAGCGAGTCGATTTTCCAGACAATCGAAACGACCCCGACACTCTGACTTTTACCTCTCGTCGTTAGACCAGTCCTCCGGTCAGAGGGCAGCTCCACCGCCTCTTTCTCTCTCCGTTTCTCACCCTTTCTCTCGATGTCTCTCTTCCTGGAGAATTTCATTCTCTCCCACTCTCGCGGTTGCGTTCTCCACACACACACACACATACACACACACATGCACAGTGTCTCGCTGTTTAACAGAGCCCAACATGCCACTTCCAAAGAGAATGAACACGCATACGCAGCGGGTACGGAGCACGTGGTTGGCCGGGTTCACCTGTGTATACAGAAAAGGAGGGAACCAACGCTTGGCGTCTTGGTGACGCGGCGGCACCTGTGGTGCGCGTCGTTGGTGTCTATCCGATAGAACGTCGGGGGATGGCGACGTGGTGATGGCAGAGGGAGGGGAAGGAAAGGGTTCGGTTCGCCTGGAAAAAGCGACAGGCAGTGTTGTACAGTAGAAGGGGAGACAAGCAACGGAACAAGAGAGAAAGGTAGCGTCGTAGCGGTAGTGCGGCAGGAGGGGAAGATTATTTCCGCCTTTTAAAAACGATTCAAAAGGCCTCTTATAGGCGGAGCTGCAGCCAGCGGACACGCTACTATTGGCTGCCTCAATATCTAATATATCATGTCATGACGGCTGGAGAATTGTTGTCCTTGTTCATGTTCATCAACGCTCGATGCCGTGGTTCCATTTCCCTTGCTGGGAACCGACCGACCGCCCCTCTATTTTCCCACCCCTTGTACGCAACGGGTTACACCAACCGGAGCAACGAGAGTGGTGCTGGTCGCACATTCTTTAAAATCGATATTTACATGGACACGCAGGTTGCTAGTCGGTTGCGCATGCGCGTCTCGCGTGTGTCGGTGGTTTCCGGCCGCTGTGACGCGAATCCAAGATCCACGTGGAGCGCTGTGAATGAAGGACGAGAAGGGATAAATGTCCGGAGATGTCGATGGCTGTGGAGTTGTGACTGAATTGGGGATGTTCGCGCATTTGGGGGGATTTAAAAAAGGTCTATAGAATTCATAGAATATTGGAAGGTACAATAATATATTCAGAATTGTGGGGTAGAAGAGAGGGTGGAAATGTGAGATATATTTATCTTAGGTTTTAATTTTTTAATTTGGAGAGTCTCAGGATAGCTAAGAAAAATTAGACGAACAACTTTGGGGAATTTTGTCTGAAATCTGCTCTATTGATCTATTGATCTACTTATGAACTTTTTACTTCTTCGTAAATTGTTTTTTGACTTTATCATTACATCAAAATTGGAGATTAACAGTTGGAAAGTTCCGAGATAGTTTCGGAGATAGTTAAGGGTTTGTGGCAGAGACACTTTGTTAACTTTATTCGTTGAATGATATATTTATAATAATACGCAGTATACTGTCTGATATACTATGATTCCCAATTTTTTCAATTTTCAGATACACGTAATTTACTATTGACATTTAGTCTAACAATGTATTATTTTTTTAATTGCAGGTGAAAGTGTAGAACTCCTGCTGGAGCACAGTACCAAGCTCGTAGAACTCTTCCAATATCCTTGGGAAGCGATATTGTTGATGTACATCAATTTAAAATATGCAGGAGCTAATCCCGAGGAAGTAGTGAGGCGCATGGTTGACGGTAAAGCACATTATTCTCGACTTTCCTTTATATTTTTGCTATAAACATTTTAAGTCGGGAAGATATTTTCAAAAAAAGTCATACATGAATAGAAGAAAAAACATTTTGCTATTATAGAAACAGAATTTTATTATTTTATTATTATTATACAATTATATTTTTATTTAATGTACATCGATCGAAGAGTATAATTCGATCTTTTTTTTCCCCTCTAGTTTCGATAGTCTTCTGTCCGAAAAATTTCACTTGGAATTCGATTTTACGTAAAATTCTTTCGTTTATCGTAAATTTATCGCCTGCTTGAACGTGCATAGGACGCGGTCATTTGAAAATTTTGGGAAGTATTTTGAAAATCGTATTGGTGAAAGAAAAATTCTTTTAGACATTCGTTCCCGTGGTTGCTTACTTTCTTTGATAAAGTGACGAAGTTTAGTATAATTGTGGTGGTTCTACGATTGGAAGACGTGTTTTTTTTTTTTCTCTTATGGATAGTTGGCGAGCGAGTGGATGTTGCAACGTAATGAAATTGGCAACATTTAAACACATTATGTAGGAGGTTGATCCACTTCCTTCGTTATTCTGATGTCAAACTACGCCAAAAACATGTTTTGTATCTCACAGTCTTTAAAAGGATAATTAAAAGAATTTGAAAGGCATGATCGTTTCAAAAATAGCCCACGATACCAGTGAAAATTATAATACATAAATTGGAGCATTTAATATTTTAGCTTCCAGATGATTAAGAAACAAAATTCAATGTTCATGAAATTTATCACAAGATTCATTTAATATTGGCCTCTTTTTCTCTTGTGCATCAGCTTATGAATAGAAGTTAATTAACAAAACGAAATAAATATTTTCCAAATGATATTATAAAAATTGGCAATCACGTTACTTCGAAAAATTCAATCATTGGTATTTTCTAGCTAAATTACTACAAGACTAGTATAAATTTGTATAGCTTGTTGAGTTCTTCAAGAAGTAATTTAGATTCGAAGATACGGACGTTTCAAATTGTTACAATAAAGAAATATTCCTGGTTCGGACAGGATGAGTAATCTAATTTGGCGTCGTTTGACGAGTAGGGTGATTTACTGGGACGACAATCTGCTGGTGCTTGGTGCCAATTTCGTCGTGTTTGCGGCTCTCCACATTTTCGCTAATAAGAATGCATTTCACGTCTCGTTAGTTGAGTACGCGTAATCGTCATGCTCGAAGATCCTTCAGGATTGAAAGTGATTCTTGGAGGTTATTTGGTTTAACACCCGAAGATTCGTTCGTGTGTGTAATTTTGGTCTACACAGGAAGATTTGGTTTATAATGACGTCGACAGCGGCAATCACTGCATTGAAACACGCATTGATCCGCGAATAAGACGTAAGATAGTCGAAGAATTTTTAAAGGTACGTATATCCGCTCGGAATTATTGTAAGATATTTTTACAATTATTATGTAATTGTTGTCGTGATGAACTGTGCCGGCATGTATTAATGTACACGACCGTGGAAGGCTGCCAACTTCAAAACTTATGCATTTAGCTCGCTCGAATGATTTTCTAGTTTCATGAGAGTATCTAATGATGAAAATCGATATGATTAAAACATGAATAAGCGCACATATAGATGCAGTATACAATAAGTAGTTAGGTACAATTTTTTCGCGATTCGTTTATCTACAGTGCACTTTATTTAAATATAACTTTAGTAATTTGTATTAGAATACAATTTGAACTAGAAATAACTGATCTCTGCAGATTGGTTACTTCATAATTACTTCATAGTTTATTTTTAGCGGTAACGAGAATTAATCAGAAATTAACGACATTCAATTTGGAATAGAAAATAGAAGCAATGAGAAACGTACCGAATTATAAAACATTTCTCAAGTTAATTTTTTCGTATTCTCTGCAGTTTCAATTTTTTTTTTTTTTTTACTAGTTCTACTGTTAAGTGAATGAAACGTGCTGAAACATAATATCGCCTCTATTAAAATACGTTTCGCTAGTCGAAAATATGAGCATCGATCGGTCGAACAGCCATAAACTTTTCAAATAACGCCGATTATGATATTACATATATTAAATGTGATATAATGACCGATCGATCATCGTCTGTCTTCTTCACTCTACAGGAAATCATAATGATGGTCAAGCGCGCATACAAAATAATACCGTGAACGGGCAATTTATTAAGTGGTTTACTTGATTAATGTTTACACAAGTCGATCATTATAAATCGCTTAAATCTCTGCTGCCTATAGCTTGGTCAATCTTAATGTTGGCGTTACTTACGGTGGTCTCAGGCATCTATCATCGTTGATCATCTTGCATCTCTCCGTTGTACTACCTTCTCTTCCGAATGAGTTACAAACATACTGACCACTTTATTATTCATTAAAGTAATATATATGTCTTGATGAACGAAGGGAGACTTTCGCTTACCTGATGTGAATTAGGTTCACGCTCGGATAAATTGCCATTCATAAAGCGCATCATCAACTCGAGCAGAAATGACGAATGATTAATTCTGATTCAAACGAATCATTAACTTCTTTTTAGCTGGATTTCTTTTAAAAGTTCACCCATTTGTCGCGGTTTAAACACAGGGATGCAAGAAAATTTTAGGTTGTGGAAAATGACTCCTCTTTTTTTTTTTTTTTTTATTCCTATTTATAACAGGTATTTATGGTAGGTACGTATTAAGTGCTTACGTAGGCTATTAGAGATACGAAAGAACGAAGAAATTATATGGGAATGTAAATTACAACGTACGGTGAGCTAATTTTTTAATTTAAATTCAACGTTCTAATTTGTCAAATGTTTCTTGGACATTTCTGAGTAGTACGTTGAGGATTTTTCCAGTGTTATTGATCATCGTCCAGCTAGGATAAAATATTCAGAAACATGAGTAATCATGAATAATTCCTAATAAGAATTTATTGACATATCTAATCGATAAGTGTAGAATCAGCCGATTCGATTTGTAATTTAAATTCAACACCTTCTAAAATATTCCATATTTGATATCTGTTTATTAGTCATCTGCTTAGTATTCACATACGTCGAGAAAAAGATAATTGTAAACTTATTGTTACGTTTCTATTACACTAATGAGATTGAGATTTATCGAGTCTCAACGCTGTTGCCATACCTGCTGCGCACAGGTTATTATCTTTCAATTAGCAATTCTTACATATTACGACACGTCGTTACAATTTTTTTATGATTAATTGTATCTTCATTTTCGATGCGTAATTCTGTTGAATTCATTTCGCTTTCTAATTTAATTTTTAACAAATGGAGATGTACAGTCAGTCAAGAAGATCTTTTCACACTTTTTAAACGATTAATATTGTTCCTTATTTTCCATTTTAACGACTAAAGTCGAACACTCATAGTCACCGATCGACAACTAATGTCACACACTCATGAAATCACTCGAGATTTTTGCGAATAATTTATAAATTACAAACTATCTTTAAATTTTTCCTCAAGTAATATTTCTTCAATCAAAATTCATGAAATTTTACACTTATCGATTAGGAACTTGTTGCCAATTATCGAAATTCATTGAATAACAAAAGAAGTGCATTAAAACGGAGCTGATCAATAAAAATCTCACCTTGTCATTTATTACTTCGTTCAAAGTAAGCATGCGTTTGATTTCTTCTTCTGTGGCGCTAAAGAAACGAATCAAAGAGAGAAGTTGTGAACAAAGTCTCGCCCCAATAACGTAATCATCCCAGCGGAAAGAAAAATGGATGCTACGGTAGCTGAGAATAGATTGTAGCACTCTGTTAATTCGCTATTCGAGGAGATAGCGAAGACGTCTTTCATGCGTGCCAGCATCGTTTCAGAATACACATGCACTAGAGATGGGATCGAGTATCTCACAAGTAGGTTCGAATCTCCAGTCATTGAATTCGACTTTGCAAATATTTTCAATGATACTTCTAAGTATCTAATGTAACATTGGAAGTTTATTTGACACTGTTACAATTTCTCTTTTGTAGAGATTTCCTACAATTATAATGAATTGCATCTATCTGTTGCAACTTAATCTGACAGTTAATAAAGATACTTAGAAATCATAATATATCTTTTGGTTCATAGAATCCTCTACCAGATGGATAACTTTTTATCCAAGAGGAACTTGCCCCTTCATAGATATAAACACGTTTAACGACGCTTATAGAAAATCCTAAATCTAATCACTGTATCTATGAGAAATGGGAGATTTGCAAGTGCTACTTGTGAAAATTTCAAATTTTATAAATATCAAAGTTACTTAGTACCTGTTTTTTTTTTTTTTTTTTTTTAAATCTATAGGTACTCGTTCTAGGATTCAAAACCAACTTGTACATAATAACTGTAGTATGGCCTCACCCATTCATCAGAATGAAACGAAATTTTGCAGGAGCGTAGGGAAAATGTAGAGGACCCCGAATATAAAATTTTAGCTACGTGTCTTTATCAGTTTCTAAGGTATTGATAAAAAACTTTGAAACATCGAGGATCATACTGTCCAAGATTCAGTCAGAATGCATTGTAGGAATTTATATGGACGAATATCATTATATAAAACGAATACATTGCAAGTATATCTGCGAAACTTCGATATTAAACTTGACTCGTAATTAAATACATATTGGTCTTGATTCCATCTCTAATACGCTACACACACTCGTGTGCAATTGGAGCTTGTTCATCGAGTTAAATACTTTTAAATATGTACATGGTACACGCCTGAGTCTCTTTGGCGAACAGGTAGACGATGTACGATTATAAGTCGCAGCTAATGGATACACTGTTTCTAAACACGTTGTACGAACTACTCTTGAAACGTGTCAATCCTTTAAATTGCATTCACATCGAGACTAGTTTATCAAATTTATCACATCGAGTGTAGTTTACTTAGTAGGAATCGCGGAAGGGTAACCAGATGGTTTTTTATTAAAGGAATAGAATTTAGATCACTTTCATTCTTCAAATCAAATTACGCGTGCCGTTCTTTCGATATTTGCATTTCTATATCTTGATATTTCCGACATATGCATCAAAATCCGTAGTATATACTTATAATTAAAGTTCGCGATTTTAATTTATGTATAACAGCGTCAGATATAAATACATAAATGGGTCATATCGTAAATTGTGGTGAAAGGAAAAATGAAAATTGCAGAGGTTATTTATCAAAATTTATCTCGAGACTGATGACGATGATTATTTTCTAGCGGTAAATGGATTCTCTAGATATTTTTCTAAATGAATATTAATTAAAGTGGCAGGAAAGGAAAAGTTTGCTGTAAATTAGATGAATGTAATAAAATCAACTGATAGAGACAAACGCGAGATTGCATTTGCACCCCAATAATTATTTTGCCCAAAAGGAACAGCGGCCGGTGATTTACGGACCTGGTTTGTGCATCGACTCGATCATCTCACCTTCTCGCAGTTAGATGCAGAAATAACAGATATCGCATATTACGCGTTGCTACCTTTTAGTACCATATACTCCCGTGAGTTTGTTCAATTGTCAGTTGGCCACGCATGTGCGTAAAACGCACGGCTCGCGTGCAATTCGGAACGAGCCTGAATAGCGAACCTTTACACCTACCCACTTGAGGCAGAGATTAATGATACCCGGTAAAAAGAAAAATGTTGTTGCCGGCCGAAGGAACGCCGTTTGCGGTCAGCCTTGAGCAAATAATAATGCGCGTGTAACGTCGGTGTACACAAGTTATACCTTAATTATCTCTCCAGGCATTACCGCGACTAATGCTTTTAAAAAGAAGAGAAAAGTGACGTTTGTCAGAGATCGCTGTCTCGCTGCGCGCCGGCGGAAATGTCGTTTTGCTCGTCGCTTCGTTCCGTTCTTCTCTATTAACGAGAGAGTATGCGACACATATGGGGTATCGAATTTTATTTTCGCTCGTTCGAAAGGGACCAGCCGTAGCTCGAGCGCTGGAAAGAATTTTTGGTAAAGCTCGGATCTTATTTAGACCAGGAGCGTTTTATTTCGAATTTTAGGCCTTTTTTTTTTTATTTTTGGTCGAACGATCCAGTGGTTAAAGCTGAGTTTAATGTGCACTGCGATAGAGTGATTTCGTGAATTTTGAGACTGAATAATTTTGTATGAAAATTAGAAGCACTAAGATCGTTTATTACGTTTTTTGTCGAATTGAAACTCGTAATTGATCAAAGACTGTAAGTTTTTTTCCAACACGCGTGTCTCGGTTTATTTTACGAGGTTATTCTCAATATAAATAAATAATTGCTTTTAGTCGTTATAAAAATACATGCTTGTACAATCGAAATTGACTGAAGTTGAATTTGAGCAACAGAAACCCAACTATCAGTTCTTTCATAATATAATTTTCTATTTAACAAGGCTCAAATCAATGA